GAAGTATCGCTGATTTTATTTACGACGATATAGTGTGTCGTCATGGATGTCCCAGTTACCTATTATCTGATCAAGGCACGAATTTCAGAAGCCGAATGCTTAATACGTTTCTGTCGAAATTTCAAGTTGCACACCTATATTCTACCGCGTATCACCCACAGACGAACGGACTAGTAGAGCGATTCAACAGAACACTATGCGAATCGTTAGCCAAAACTATAAATGATGTTAGAGATTGGGATCTGATGATACCATCCGTATTGTTTGCATATCGGACAGCTCATCAGGCTACGACTAGAGTGACGCCATTCTATTTGGTATACGGCAGGGAAGCACGTACACCAATATCCCCAGATGACGACATTCTTGATGGTACTATTTTAAAACGATTGTTTGACCTTATTAACGTTGTTCCCCAAGAACAAAATAACGCCGTCGCGCAGATTGAGCAAGCGCAACAGCGAAACAAGACACGACACGACCAACGACTCAAATCTAGCCAGAGTTTCGCGATAGGAGACAAGGTGTTACTTTATCGCGCCTATCTTATCCACTCCCGAAGCCACAAACTGGATAACAAGTGGGAGGGACCCTTTTTTTGTCCACGAAGTACGACCCAAGGGGGTATACCGTCTCCGAACAATGGAAGGAAACGTGCTTCGACGACCCGTTAACCATCAGCTGTTGAAATTGTATCACGAACGAGAAACGATACTTACCGAAGAAGACGAAATTATCATGCAGGGATAAAAAAAAAAAAAAAAAAAATGAATGATAAAAAAAAAAAAAAGAGATGTTTTCGATCGGTTCGATCAATTCGAACGGTTATTTTATTTAGTGATTTTATTTTATTTTATTGTTTTGTACGAATATAAATAGGATGGTTTTTGGTTTCGCGCAATTCTTTGTTTTTTTTTTCGTTTTTCTCTTTCTTTGTTTATTTCCCCCCCCTCCGGTTCGAAACTAATCTAGAAGGATGTCCGAAGAAGTCGCCAGGATAATAACGGATTTGTTGACAACGGAACCCGCGTATGTGAACGTTACACCACCACCCTATGACGCCTGGGAAACGTACGAGGAAAAAGTCGCT